GAGTGCACACACCCTCTGGCAAAATTTTTTTAAAAATTATGTTTTGTTTTGTAAACCTTAAAGCATTTATGAAAGAATAACTATTAGTAAAATGAATTCCTATGAATCTGTCATCCAGCTTTGACAGTTGGTATTTCATGGCTAATCTCATCTCGTGTACATTTCTAACACCCATTGTCTACCTCAACCTGTGACCATTTTAGAGCAATTCTAAATGTTCCTATCATCTTAATATACCTTTGAAATAAAAGGAGTCTTTACTTTTATAAAAATATAATGACATGGACTGGCAGGTGGCATGGTGGTTAAGGTGTTGGACTCCTACATGGCTGACCATGGTTCCAATCCTAGACCTGGTAGCTTGCTTTCTCGCATTCTCTCTCTCTCTCTCTGGACAAATTAAAAATAATAATAATACTAAATAAAATAATTGAAAAAATATGACATTGTCATGATCAAATCTAAAAGCTTAATAATTCCTCAGTGTGACCTGTTATCTAGTCAGTTTTAAGATGTTCTCTATCATGTTATACTTTTTTGCCCTTTTATGAATCAGGATCTAAATAAAATTCATTCATTGGCATTGGTTCATATGACTCTTAAGTTTTCTGTTTATCTATAGGTTCTATTGTTTATATTAGGTCTCTGGAGAAATCATGAAGTATTTTTCTATGTTTTTCTGCGTACAAATGTATCGTGACTTTCCCTATGACCTGATAGTTTAAGTTTTGAAGAAACTGAAGGGCAATGATTTTGTTTAAAATGTTATATAATGGCACCAGCAGATGGTGCAGTGGTTACATTGCTGGACTCCTACATGGCCGACCACGCCCAGACTGGTGGCTTGAAAAGAACACCGGGCGCACATGCATGCATGCCTAAGATCCTGGGAAGAGAATGGAGGAGAAAGGATTGTGGTGTGGCTATCCCCACTTGGTGGTGATTTCTCACTTTCATTCTCACTGTGTCATATATTTTATATATATAAAATGGGGCCAGCAGGTGGTGTAGTGGTTAAGGTGCTGGACTCCCACATGGCCAACCATGATTCAAGTCCTTAACACAGCTGCTTGAAACTCACATGGGCGTATGGGCGTGCATGTTCAAAATCCTGAGAGAATGGAGGAGAAAGGATTGTGGCATGGCCATCCCCTCTCTGTCTGTCTGTATCTCTGGTGAGCACACGCACCCTATAGCAAAAATATCTTTAAATTTTTTTTTAATTTAAAACGTTTTTCTTTATTATAGTGATCCACTTACCAGGTTGTTATATACCTATTAATATTAACTATCTGGAAGAGTCATAATCTAAAACATGAGGCAGCAAACCCTACAAGTATGGTAATAAGGCCAAAAATAACTGTCACAGTCTGAATGCTTCTTCAGGAGAGACGTTGAACCACCCTATTTTTTGTTAATCCCAAATGACTGATTTAATATATAATATTTGGTTATCTTTTTCATGCCAATAACCTTCATTTCTAGTGAAGACTATCCCAGGCATAAGGAGTAGAAGTTTCTAGCAAATCAAAGGAATGGGAGAGCCTCACTGACAATAGTAAAGAGCAGCGATGGGACCAGAGATAGTCACAGGAGGAAAGAGAAAAACCAAGGAGAACTGCACTGCTCTCTGCTCCTTCCTGGGAGGCAGCAGGCACCTTCTTCTGTCCGTGGTCTTGGAGTTACCCCAGTGTTACAGCATAGAACAATAATTGTAATTCATTAATGGCTTGGAACCAAGACTGTATTTTGTTCATTATAAATCGTTTACTCAGACGGAAAAATTATAGCGCATTTATAGGAAAGTTTTAAAATAAATCTTTTAACCAAAAACATATTTTAATGCTTAAAGGATTAAACATACTATTAACATTTTACGTCAAAAATACCCAGAATTCATGCCAGATAACTGAGGCATAGAGCTGAACACAACTTTAGTTTGTGAGATACTGAAATAATTCCTGGGCTGTACTTAGTAGACATAGTACTTTTTCTGCCTTGTAAATTAAGTTCGATTTGTGCTCTCGATGATGAAGTTTTGCTGCATAAATGCTTTAGAGTCTGCATTTCTGTTCAGGGCATGGTAATAGCAGAGACAAAACGTCAGATGCATGAAACCCTGGAAATGAAAGAAGAAGAAATTGCTCAACTTCGTAGTCGCATCAAACAGATGACTACCCAGGGAGAAGAATTGCGGGAACAGAAAGAAAAGTCCGAAAGAGCTGGTAAGAACTTAGGAGTTACTTGTTTTATGCTGGAGCGTAAAAACCATTGAAAATGCTTGGCCAATATTCTAAAAATTAGTTAAATACTGATAAAAACACTTTTTTGTAGAGAGACTTCATAAGTACTGCAGCTGCTCATTAAAGGCAGTGGTTGGCAGACTCCAGCTTGTGGGCCAAATGCGACCCCTGGCCCATTTTTGTACGACCTTTAAGCAAAGAATGATGTTTTTTACATTTAAGGGGCTGAAAAAGGAAGAATATGTGACAGAGACCACAACAAACCTAAAATACTTACCATCTGGCCTTTTGCCGAAAATGTTTGCTGACTACTGCCTTTTAGTATCAAAATTTGGGCTAAAATTTTAGAATTTCCAAGTAGGCACCTCATGATACTTACCGAATAACTGCCACTTATACATATTTTAGGGCAAACAGAAAATGTAGAGTGTAGGTCTGCTTTCACAGGGAATGAGGAACAGTTCAGTGTTGTGCATAATTACATCATGCTTGACGCAATAACCGCTAGGCTGTATAACGTAGGAAAACCAGGGGAGTAGTCAACGAAATGAGACCGAGTACTGCCAGACAAGGCTCTGGGGTGTCAGGACAGAGAACGATGAGCTGTTCTCAGGTCCTCGAGTGTGTGTTTTGAGTTGGCCTCAACGCATAGAACAGGCGTGAACAGATGCCACGAGACCACTAACAGCCACGGTGCCCTTCGTCGTCACGTGACTCAAGTGAGCTGCTGAAGTGAGAAATGAAGTTGGATTGTGAAAGGACTGAGTCGGACTTGTCAAAGGGGCGTGGCTGAGTTTAGACCTTGGTTCACAAGGCGAGGAACCCAGTAACAGGAAAGCTTGATGTGCTGGAAGCTGGTGTCTTACGTGCAAAGGCAGGGATATGGGTGGCCATTCTGAGGAGCAAAGGCAGAAGTCCAGGTTTTCGGGTCCTAGAACTGGCCGCCTTGACTAGAGTGATGGTTCTCGGATGGAGAAGAAAGGCAGTATCTGCAGAATTTGGTATCTGATCAAGTGGGAGGGGGAAGAAGGAAAGTAGAAATCTAAAATGACTCCAAAGTTTTAAGCTTAGGAGATTGAATGAATAGTGTGGAGTTAGAATAGGGCACTTAGATAGGGAAACTGAGGACTGGAGTGAGAGAATGAGTTTGTTGAGAGACTTTGAATTTTAGCCAGTCATGAGCTTATCAGAATGAACTTGATTTGTCAGAATTTAGAAATAAGAAACTGAAACATCTTTGGGACTCATTGGCGTAGGGTTGCAACCTACAGTTAAATCTGTAGGAGAGAATGGTTTCTACCAAACGTCAAGTTTAAGAGTGACAGTACTAGTTGTGTACTGGCATCTGCTCCTGCCGGCTCTGACTGAGCACTTGACTACTGCCGCTACGGTTTTAATACGCCGCAGGGCAGCACTGCCATGTTAGCAAGGTTCTGCCAGGTGCTTCGCCTGCACTTGGGTGTAATCCTCACAGTTTAGGAAATGGTATTGTTATTCGCCTCATTTTACAGATAAGAAGACCTGGGACATGGAAGGTTATGTAACTTGCCTACATTCGTGCACAGAGTAAATACACACACTGTCAGGATTTTAACCCAGGCATGTGATTCCAGAGTCTGTGCTCTTGATGATAAAGGTCTAGAGTTTGGCAGAGAGAAATAAATGAGACAAAAAGAAGTTACCTCACGAAGTCATTGAAACTGTGGGTAGTTATGTTTTGGAGGGTAATAATATATAAGGGGTGCTTCAGGAAGAGGGAGGGTAGCGTGAAGACTTTCAAAAAGTCTTTGAATTTGCTGAGAATTTGACTCCCAGGATGCAGTTTTGAGAAGTGACAAATGATTTTAGAAACCAGATTATAGTTGAGGGATTTGGGTCTGGACAAGAGAGAAATTGTGCCCATAAATTCCTCTCCATTTCCTTGTGGTTGCTTTCTGGATAAAGGTGGCTGGGGAATTTAGTTAATGAATTTGTTCTCATTAAACCTTACAAAATTTCTTCTCAGAGAGAGTTAATCTCTTAGGACTTATTTGAAGCAGTTAGGGAGTTGTGAGACATTGTTAAACAGGTTTGCTTTGGGTGAACAGGAACCAGTGCATGGTCTTGACTTCTACGAAGCCTTTCCATTTTTACGACTGCTTTTTCTTGACTGTCGTAGTTAGTCAAGAGAGAATAATGTTGGTTAGGAGATTAAATTTCTTTTTAAAATTGGAATGTACTTCATGAGGAGATAAAAACCGATGAATGAATATCAAGTCGAAAAGGATAAATGATAAAAGGGTAGGCAAGCTGTATAGTTAATTCACATGCAGGGTGAGAGTTCCCCAGGCAGCTGTCTCACTCAGGTCTTTAGATGTGCAGCTTTTCTTACCTCATTTCTCTAAAACACGGATCAGTTTTGTCTTTAAATGTGACGTTCATGAAACTATACTTTTATAAACATTCGATAGCGCATAAGTTCATAAACTTTTCTGTTAATATTTTCAAAATACTGGAAATTAAAAATGACAAAAGAATTATGATTTAAATTATTTAATAACTTCATTCACTTTCAAAGTCTTTAGATAACAGTTTTAAGTGCTTTTATAAATATTTTAAAAAATTATGTGGCGGGGCTGGCAGGTGGCCTGGTGGCTAACGTGCTAGACTCCCACATGGTTGGCCATGGTTTGAATCCCGGAACTGGCAGCTTGCTTTCTCACTTTCTCCCTCTCTCTCTTTCTCTTTCTGGTGAGCACATGTGCCTTATAGCAAATTTTAAAATGTAATACTAATTATAAATACAATTAAAAATATTTTTGTAATCTATAGTCATTGAGGGTTCTGTTAGCATGTTGTAACAAACTGGTGGAATGGTAAAGATACTGCCTTTTAAATCTGTAATAAAAACTAATTTACATACCAACTGCATTTCAGCTCATTGTCTTGGTTGAGTCTGAATAGCACTGCTCAAATAAAAATGGTTCTTAGTTCAAATATAAAATACATATGCCAATTGAAAGAAAAATTCCAATGAAATACTAGACAGAAAAGGTCAAGGCCCAGCTGTGGCAGTGCATGCCCGGAACTGTTGCTGATCAGGTCGAGGTCACATGGGAGGCCCAGGTTCGATTCGTGGCCTACCTTGAAAAACTGGGTGTGTTGATACAGATCTAGTTTCAGCTGCTTGGGAGCTTGAGGCAGGAGGATTGTGACATATTAAAACCCTGTCTAAAAACACCCTCCCCTTCTGAGAGAAAGAGAGAGAGAAGAGAAAAGAAAAGGTCAGTAAAAAGGAGGTAGGGTCTTCACACACTGTGAACATCATCTGGCTCTTAGAGCATTTAGTTGCTTTGTTAAATATTTATCTCCTCCTTTCTCTGGTTTTAAATTCAAAGGCTGAACACATAAGAGCTGGCCATGTAAAGGAAACATAAAATCATTACAGCATGCTATTTGATTTTTAGATGCTTCTGCGTAAAACTGTCCAACTCCTAAATTTGCAGCTCTAAAATTTTTAACTCTAATACTGTAGGTGATTCTTATTTATTTTTGAAGAGGTTTTTGCTGTAGGGCACATGTGCTTGCCAGAAAGACAGAGAGAGACAGAGAGACAGAAAGCAGGAAATCACCCACTAGGGGGGATGGCCATGCCACAATCCCTTCTTCTCCATTCTCCTCTTGGGATCTTGGACATGCACGCACACGCACCTGGCGTGAGTTTAAGCCCTCGGGTCTGGGACTTAAGCCATGGTCGACTACATGGGAGTCCAGCAACTTAGCCATTACGCCAACTGCTGGTCCCTGTTGGTAATTCTTGACATGTGGATACTATTGGGTTGTTGGCACAGTCACGATGCATTTTTGCATAGAAAAACATAAGAAAGTATGTCATGACTTTTCCATCAACCCAGTACATCATGATTTTTCTGATGACCTAATAGAAGACAAAAACACTATTTCCCTTGGCTCACTTATCGTGGATGTCAAAATCAGCTTAAGGTGTGGACCCATGACCTAGTTGTTCAGGAAACTGGATTCCACAAGATTGACCATGTGGTTCAAGTCCTGAACCTGGCAACTTGAAAACCATGCAAGGATGCACGTGCACCTGAAACCCAACAAGTGGAGAAAATGAGTACAGTGTAACAATACTCTCTATTGGGGATTGCTTTCACCCTCTTTTCTCTCTCTGCTAGTGCACCTGCCCTTCGGGAATTAAAAAAAAAAAGGAAACCCAAAATAAATATATTTGTTACAAGCACTTTACTGTGACTGTTGACAGTGTTTCTTTTTAGGTGTCACTTTAGAACAGAGATGGTCGTGTCTCCCAGTGGCCAGGTTTTAAACTTGGAGAAGTTGGATGACTCTGCTTGAGTGCATTAATGTTTTATTCTAGGTGTTATGTATTATTTCTAATTATATAGAAAATTATATCTTTAGTGTAGCACAGATGTAGAATGTTAATGCTACTGAAGTTCACAGTTGGTCTTGGCTCTTCTACAGGTGCATGGTGTGTGTGTGTATCTGTCTGTCTGTCTGTCTGTTAACCAGAGTAGGAGATAGCTGGCTAGTTATTAATATAGTGTGTGTGTGTGTGTGTGTGTGTGTGTGTGTGTATACATACACACATTGTTTTCTTTAGAGAGATTTTTGCTATAGGGTGGGTGTACTTGCCAGAGAGACAGAGAGATGGAAGAGAAATTACCTCCCAGGGGTGGTGGCCTTCTCCATTCTTGGGATTTTGGGCATGCATGGACACATGCCTGGCATGAGCTTTAAGCTACTGGATCTGGGACTCGAACTGCAGTTGATTACATGAGAGTCCAGCAATATAACCATTACATCATCTACTGGTCTTATTAATGGGGGAAAATTATACCAAAAAACCCCAGAAAGTGGAATGAAAGTACATCACTGTTGTTTCAGTACACTTCCATGTAATCTTTTTTCCAGTGCTCATTTTTATATTGTTGTAATACTCTTGTGTGATTTTGTATGTT